GGCCCCCACTTACTCCAGGAGTGAGGGTTGGGATGGACCTGAACAGCCGATGACGGTTTTTGCACTCCCCTTCAACCCTTTGAGAGTTAGTCAGGAGTACGGGATCGATGTCGACTCCCGGGAAGCTCGGGTTTTGTGAAAATGTTCTCGCAAAGTGTGCAAAGTATGGGGACAAGTTTCTTTGTATGTGAGGTCATATCGGTCGCGCCAAACTGGAGGATATCAAGTAGACTTGATGAAAGTCTTGATTATCTGGGGAGGGGGGAAAAAGTAAGGAATCAAGGCGAGGCAGCAGTAGCAGTTCCCCGCATCTTAGACTTTCAGGAAGGAGAACTGCCCACTTGATTGGCCTGTTTGTTGATAGGAGCGCAAGAGTCGGGAGCCACGCGGCGGGGACCAGCAACCGGACAATGCTTGGGCCTTACCACAAGACTTGACAACCCGAGGCTGAACAAGGTCACTCGTCCAACCTGCACTACATGTATCGACACCTGATTCAAGAGCAACAATTCGCTGTCGCTGGTTACTGGATGATATATTTCAGTTTGCTCTACGCCCTGTATCGCGTCGCCTTTTCACCCCAACCATCCTCCGCTCCACGAAGAAGGAAAAAGTCCGTTCGGCCACCTCCATCCTAAAGCAAAATTCGAGTGCAAAATTTTGCGCGTTTTTTCTGGGATCTTGAAGCGCGCTCGCCAGCGGTGCCGCCAGCTGTGACCTGGTCCGCATAGCGCTTATCCGCTGCCTCTGTGGAAAATAAGTGCTCGAAGCCCGGAGGCAGCCGTAATGTCGAAATCCTGGGCGTGCCAATGGGGCGAGGGAGAAGGGGGGTGGGTATCTTCTGAAGAGTGCTCACTGGCAAGGGCTCACTCTCAGCCACCAAGTCCGCAAGTGTGTGGGGCTTTTCCGGCTGCTTTTTGTCCTCTTTTGATTGGTATAGGGCCAAAGGAATGACGGGTCGAAGGGTGAGATGGTCAAGAGTCATTTTGATGGGCACGTGGTGCGGGAGTGGCTTTTCCGATTCTTTTTGTCAGGTTGCGTGTTCAAGGCTACATCAGATAAGTGAGATGCTTACCCTTTTGTTTTGGCTTGGTAGATGGGTGTCCTTTCTGGTTGCTCAAAGGTGTGTTTGGTTTGTTCTCTTGATGTAGTTGTTGCTTGGTGGTCTTCTTGATGACCATTTGCTACAACAGGAAAGGAAGCACAAGGAAGTTTACATTCACGCAGGAGAAGGCACTCTAAAGTGGGCCTTTGAAGAGACTCACAACTCATGGTATTATCCTCCGACCTATTCACGTTCCTTATTGTTGGAAATGTTGACGATCACAAGTGTGTTTGCGGATGAATGTAAGGCTAAACCGAGCAAATACAAATTGTAGGATCGACGGTTGCACTCATTCAAGGTGGGAGCAGGGCTTGGGTGAAATTTGCAGTTGGACTACAACTTCCTGGTCATGGAGTATATCCATGTATGGACATCGGACGCTCCGGTGTTTCGATACTTCGTTTTACCAAACAGTTTCATCACGTCAATTTCGTGCCTCAATCCAACTGTCTAGATTTGGCACCGAATATAGCCTTGAGGCTGAAGGTTGTATTTCTGATTGACTTGGAAAAGACTTGAGTTTATCAATAACGTATTTTATAAGCGAGTCGTGGGTACAAGCGAGCCGTAGGTTCTCTACTACCAACTAATAACTATCCTTAATTACTATATATAACACTAAATAACTAACTACAATTTCCTCTACAATAGATATATCAGATAATTCTCCAGCCTCCTAGTAAATACCCGCGTTATAGCTAGGCTTGCCGCATATATTACAGCACCGAACTATTATATAAGACCCCCCTATACTACTACTATCCGGCTATATTTCTTACACTCCTATCACGACTTAACACTTAGTGGGGCGCGGGGCGCACCACGGACTAATTGTTAGCACAGGGATAAGGACTAATTAGAACAGGATCATTGGGATCGAGGATCGATCTAAAAGAGTCAATCCCAAAAGGGACAGTATCGATAAGATCGATGGTCGAGTCCATCGATCTAGAACAGTGCCAGGCTTAGTACTAAGTCTATATATACGGAGGAACTAGCTAGTGTAGATAAATAGTTCCGCAGTATACAATCCACAGTTGTATTTACGGTATCTTATATTTACATTAAAACATTTTGTTATATACTATTTAGCTGCACCGAACTAATTGTTAGAAGTTACCTTTAACCCGTATCCCTTTTAAAGGTTCTGTATAGGGGTTCGTTACAGTTAGCGAGTTCCTCGAGTGTTCCGTATTCTCTATAAACCTCGTAGGAGAAGCTATATCTTAGGTGGCTTATCGACTACGTAGCTTCCTTATTAGCCTTTTTATTATTCTTTACTTAATTTTGTTATTTATATTAGTTTCTTACCTTCGTACGGCAGTAACGGGCGCACTAAGCGTATATATAGTCCTTAAAATCTAGAGTATTTTTGTTTTAATATTCCGTAGGGATTATAGTTTCTATAATAAATATATATTTTCCTTCCGTTATTATTCCGTAATTTTAATTTTCTTTTAACCCTGCCCTATATACTTATAAAATAGGGTTATTTTCTAGCTCTAATTTTAATTCTATATAATTGTCGTCGGTGGAGATTCCTATTTCTATAGTTCTCTTACTTTTTCTTTTTACCTACTCGGCTCCGCTAACGGATAGTCGTTTCTTATTAATAAATTTTCGTTTTTAATCGTTAGTCGTAGAATATTCTTTTAAAGCTAGGCTTATAAGTAGGATTTAAGCGTAATTTATTATATAAATAAATTATTTTTAAATCGTTCCTATAGGTATATACGATATAAGGTTTTTCATTATAACGTCCGTTAATAACTAGTGGAGGGGGTTACCGTTTTCGCGATATATTATTTTAACGACGCGGTTAATATCCGCGAATTAAATTAATTTAGTTTTAAGTACTAGTTTAAACTTCTTTAATAAACGATATTCTCGTATAAAGTATCCTATTTTATTATAATTAAAGTATTTAACTTTAAACTTATTTTTAGGTTTATTACTGTATTTTTGTTATTAACCTTTACCGTACTATACTACCCCGATATTTATTAATTTTAAATAAGTTCCTTATAAAATACTTTATATTTATATTTCTTTTTAATATTTACTTTAGGAATTTAAGGGTTATAATAAACTCTTTTATTTTCTATAAATCGCTTATAGAATCGGTTATCGACGATAATTGTTTTATTAATATATTTATCGAGGGTAAGTACGTATCGGTCCTTATTAATAAGTTCGTCCTTAACCTAAAGCTTTAAGCCTTTATAAAATTTATTCTTTAAAGTAATATCTGCCTAATTAACCCTAAATATATTTCGGTAAAAGAATATTACGTAAGTCGAGGATAAAGTAATTTATATAAGTCGTTCGAGTCGATCCTCGGCTACCTTTTCCTCGTCGGGTTTACTATATATTTTTTTAATTCTTCTTCGAACTTAACTAATCTCATATCGAAAAGCTTTTATATAAAGAGTTTACGTTTATCCTCCGTATACTTAAAATAATTCTTAAGAATTTTATTAAATTATTATTTAAAGTTTCCTTTAAAGAAACTAACGGTATATGTCACGGCTTGACACTTAGTGGGGCGCGGGGCGCACCACGGACCAATGACACTTGGTGGGGCGAGGGGCGCACCACGGA